TTTAGTTTTACTACAAACTACTTTTGGGTGAAATGTCTGGACACTCAACACACTATGAGTGTGAATGTAGAACAAACACATTCAAACCTAAAATGCATGAGACTGAGACCTACAGTTTATGTCGGAGTGAGACTCCTTGTTGGTACATTAGCTCTGTTCTCATTTTCAATCTTCTCAGTCACTATGGATGTAAAAGTGCGATATAAAAAAGTGTTACACAATGACATAAAATGAGTCATTGCGTAATTATTTACCCTCTTTAAAGTGGCTGACCTAATTAAGCAGAGGTCCAGTCAGATGGTGCAGGTAGTCTCACAATGGCGATATTAATGGTGACTTGAGCGGGGGGAACATTTCTGCAGTCACCTGTTTTTTGTTGAATATTTTTATTGAATTATTATTTTTGTAGAAATCAGTTTTTTAGATTGACTTCAAAGTTATTTTTGTACATTTTGGTGTCAACAAAAGCTCAGTTTTGTTGCTCATGACTGATTTGTACAAAATTACTTTTAATAAATGTGTTAATTCTTTTTTTTTATATATAGGGACTATATTTTTTGCACGTTTTAGGGAGGCAACGTTCAATCATGACCACAAGAGGGACACAATGAGCTACAAAAAAACTCACAAGTCTATGTCATACTCATATGATGCAGTTATTTTTTTTTTTATTTAACACTCATGTAAGATTCTTTGGGCTTGCATCAACAGCTGATATGGAGTCTGAGGAAATCAGAAAACAGGAACCGTGTAGGATGGCGTAAGCGCCGTTTGTACCAGGTAACTGGTACAAACTCTACATTTCCTCTGTTTTGGTGCAAAACCTCCAGCATCAAAACAGTTCTAACTTGCCTCTGGCAGTTTCTGCTCTTCCCAGCCACTGCGCAAAGCTGCAGAGGTATTTCTACATGCAAGTTGGGATTCAACAACATGCAGAATTTAAGCCATGAGAACTTAGATGTTAAACTCTGAAGAGAACTTTAAATAAAATAATAATAATAATAATAATAATAATAATAATAATAATAAACAGTCTAAGGAATAAGTCCAAGGTTCACTTTAATTTAAAAAGCAAATGTTCTCATTGCTGAGCAATGACATTCAGCAGTTTCTTTGTAATTGCGTTAGTTAGTTAGTTAGTTAGTTAGTTAGTTAGTTAGTTAGTTACATAGTTAATTACTTACAAAATAAATATTGCTTCAACCTTCATAGTATTATTTATTACCATAAATCCAAATACGGTGGTTGTAGATGATAACATCAGCAAAATAAGTTGATATTGCTTTGGCTTGCAGCTATGTCAAATAACGTCCACAAAAGAAAACAAACGATAATTTGGATTGTTGAAACGATCCAAATCATCCAGAAGCCAGACTTACTGACTTCGTTTACAGAAAATCATCAGATGGAAAACCTTTAAACAGGAATATGAAGGGATTTTCACCAGTTGCAGCTAAAGCCCTGCAGACGGTTATTGTCTCTGGCAGAGATTGAAAAAAAAGTCTGACGCAAACATGTAACATGAACAGCTTGCAACTCAAAAACCAGCCGATCAGCTTGATTCTCCTGCCTCTCGTGATATCATCAACTCAAATACACACAATGCTGTCAGTGGAACAAAATATAAAGCGCCGCTTAGTATCTTTAAAGCAAATACTAGACTTTGATTTGGTGCAAATGACTGAAATACAGATTGTGGCATCAGTGAGAGCACAGAGAGAATAAATGTGCGGAATGGCTTTTTCTAAAGCTTCCTCTCACCTTGATGGGAAAATAATCCCGCATGTACCCCCACAGTTTGAGGCCGCACAAAAGGGGCACTCTGCGGCCTCCGCGTGCCGGCGTGTCGAAGTCATGGTACCACCAGATGGCGTACAGCACACTGATCAGCCAGAGGCGAGTGAAGAGGAGGTAGAAGAACAAGATAATGCAGGTAGGTGCTGAGGAGGGGGACAGAAAAAAAAACATGAGCTGCGCAGTGACATGAGAAACAAGTCGTGCTAATCTGTCCTTAAAAAGTAAGTGTTGATTATTGCACTACAGGATACAGCAAACGGGACCAGATTTGACTCTAACAGTTCACATAAGGAGCATGAGAGCTGATTCAGAAAGCTGGTTTAATTGTGGAAACCTAATTATCAGTGTTCGCATGAAGGTTGAAACGATGGGGGATTCAGCAGGCCCCTGTCTTTAATGTCTGACTTAAAAGGGTAAATCTATATTTTCGAGTGCAGTACCAGCTTTCCTCCATACAAAGTGTTTTGCAGGAAGATTGAAGAAGCTCTGTTTGGGTCTAATACGGCCTCTGCTCACATGTTTGCTGCCTCTGTCTGTGGCTTGGTTAGCAAACCAGATGTGAACATTGCATGTACTTACATCTGTGATGTTCAAAATGTTCAACAACGCACAATCATTTCTATGGTTTTCTTTCCACAATTTTCTTTTCTTTTCTTGCACCTTTTCGACCAAAAACAGATTTGTAGAACTCATGACTAACAGTTGTCCTGCGGATCTCTGCAGCTCCTCCAGAGATAGGCATAAGCCTTTTTGCTCTTTTCTTTTAATCTTTGTCTGCGTATCTGTTTTTTCAATAACCTTGAAGTTATATGCTCTTATTGGTAATGTAAAAAATATATATATTCTACATTTACTTCATCACATAAGTGAATCCTTACCAACTGTAATTATACTGAAAGCATAACATCATATTTCATCCTTTTAGTAGATCATTTCAATGTGACATGTTTCTTTCCAGCTTCAGCGTTATTGCTTGCATTGCATAAGAATGTCAATCTCTGATATCTTTATTGTTGGGTTTTATAAATGAACTACTCTGCAAAACGGACCTGACAAAGAAGAACAACTTTCCACTTTATTTTGTCAGCGTCAGACCAGGAGTAAATGACAGCTTGAGAGTTTGAAAGAGGGTTTGTGCAAATGTCTTCAGCAGTAGAGTTTGCAGAAATCCATCAGATTCAAATTGTTTTGCCATAAGTGCGAGGTTGACACAGATATTGTGTACAAACATACTTTGTTTTCACACAAAAACAACCCCAATGATGGGGTTGTAATGCAAAGAATGTTGTATGTTATATAATTATTAGCACCTTTACATGTCGCTACACATTTTCATGCACTCTCATGTTGACCTTTGTGCTACTATGAGGAGATAATCCGGCATTATTAGCAAACTCCCACCAGCACTTACCCAGACCCAGGAAGGAGAAGACCCACTGGACCACTGTGGCAGTCTGCAGCCTCCTGTGGAGGGGAACGTCCACAGGCGCGAAATCAATTTTCATTTTTCTACGAAAGAAGACACACGAGCCGACGTGCCGCCGCTGAGTCCAAGAAGGACAGCAAGGGAGGGGAAGTCCAAAGTCTGCTCTTCTCGCCCATCCACCATCGCCTCCTATTGACTTCTGGCTTATCTTGACTCAATACCTGGTTTGATTTCTCAGAATATGTATTAGCTTAAATTGACCTTTGACCCAGAAGGGTATTGATGACCGACTGCAGGGCGACCGGACTCGAAGCCAAAGATCTGTGGGACAAAATGGATGCCACGGAGCTTTTTCATTCAGATTTTTTCCACCATTAACTTTGCTCTTGCAAAATGTGGCTCTTTGTAAATGTAACTGCAGCTGGTTGAGCAATAGCACAAGAGTGTCTCAGTGACACACAGCGATAAAGGTCATTTGGAGACGGTTCACACATTTCTTATCACACAATGAGACTGTTGGTACTGCACAGATTGTCTTAAATATGTTTGCAGTCCTGTTAGTAGATAAAGCGGTCGGTTTTCAGGTAGGTGCTGTTAAGAAACGGAACCGTGGATTGACCTTCCGATAAATATTTCTCTTTGACAACATCCCAGGTTAATGATAAATTAATCATCTGTCTCATTATGTCGAATTCCCCCCAAAATATGAGTGAAATAAAAACGTAGACATGATGTTTTTAGACAGGCTGTCGGAAAACAACACAAGCCCGTTCTGTAGTTAGGCACCGTAAATGTGTTAAGGCCAGTGTGAAACAACACCTCTGGGTGCGTAATCAGCTCATATTATTCATGTATTCCACTGTTTGCTGACAGTGTCAAAAAAATAAATAAGTGGGTCAGTAATGATCAGCGCTGTAGCAGTAGCTATTTTACACACTTTGATTTAAACAACTCCCAACTTTCGCCATCCAGAACCCACTTTCATTTAAAAAAACATCCTCATTACACAGCAGTTTGTGGCAGCAAAGTGTTTCGAATGTCTGTTGTGACAAACGTTAACACTTCTTTTGACGGGGTGAGCACAATGCTGACATGAACATGAAGGAGTCTTGACGAACGACTGTTGTCATGAGGTGTCATCCGGTAAATAATGACACTTTTCATGCAAACTTGCTCTAGAAGTTGCACTGAAATTCCATTGACTTTGCATTAAAATGTCATTGTTTGCGAAACAATGCGGGGCTGGCACTTTTAGCTGAGTTTCAATGCAACTTTTAAGGCAGCTTTGCAATAAAAGTGTTATTATTGACTGAATGACATGGCATGGGAATAGCCACAGACGTTCATGATGACTCCTTCGTGTTCGTAACAAATGCGATGTCATGTTTATGAGGCTGTCATGTCAGTCTGATGCACATTCTGTCAAAATGTTACCTAGGAGGAGCAACATAATGTATTATATATATACACACACATACAGTATGTAAATATCTGTATCTATATGTCTATAGCTCTATATATCTATATTTATATATATATGTCTATAGCTCTATATATCTATATATATATATACATTATATATATATAGATATATAGATATATATAGATATAAATCTATATATATATAGATCTATATATACATATATATATATAGAGAGAGAGTCAATTTTTGTACCTTTTTTGTCAAATATTTATATCCAGTCTGTCTATACTCTAATAAGGGTGCGTCAAGTCCACAGTGTGCGTCAAGGGTTCTGTTGTATTTCAAAATTGAACACTGGCAGCAACCGCGTCTCTAGTGGAAATGCTTCTTATTTGTTTCAAGCGTCATTTCTTTCGCTATTTTCGTTTCTATGTAATAAATAAAAGCGGCTGTGTTATGGTCTCTGTAGCAGGAAGGTCACCGTCGCTTTCAAGCTGGCGCTAAACAGGAAGTGAAACTCTCCAGCTTGACCTGATTATTTCCCTCTTCGGTTCCCGTCCGTGTCTCCGGGATGCTGAGCAGCTCGGGCGGGGCCGTCACTCCTTGCAGTGCCCTGATGTAGCAGGACGACACAGAAGGGACACGGAAGGAGCAGAGGACGGTTCTCACGGTTCAGTTCGTGATACCACTTGTATTTTTTTCTTTTAATCTTCGCCAGTCTTCGGGTTGAGTAGGATACGTGCGCGGTCTTCACGTCAAAAGCGTCGGAGCCTTCTCATGCGGACATCTTGATTTTCTCACGTCGCTGTGTTTCGGGGAGCGGAGCCGTGTTTTTTCTGTCGTGTCAGCCTGGTTGGAAGTAGCGCTATTTGAGTGTGTGTGTGTGTGTGTGTGTGTTTTGTTTGTGTGTGTTTTTTCTTTTTTGGTGGAACTCTAAACCCCACAGCATGGCGTGGCCCTGCATCAGCCGGGCGTGCTGCATGGCCCGGTTCTGGAACCAGCTGGACAAGACTGACATTGCGGTGCCTTTGGTCTTCACCAAGTACACGGACGCGTCGGAAATGCAGCACATCCAGCTGCAGCCGTCGCTCCATCCTCCCCAGGCCCGGGTCGCCATAGAGACGCAGCCGCCGCGCGCGGGAGCCCGCCTGGCGAAAGCGCCGCGCGGGCCGCGCAGGTGCGCCTCGGAGGAGCGCGTGTGCAGCTCGGTGATGCGCGAGGACTTCAAACACTGGAAAGTGCGGCCCGAGCCCAGCTGTAAGCCCAGGAGCGAGTACCACGAGCCGGAGACGCCGTTCAACACCGAGACCCAGTACCAGAAGGACTACAAGCCCTGGCCCATCCCGAAGAGGTACGACCACCCCTGGATACCCAAACCCCCGCCGAGCGCCGGCGACGACCACCGACCCAGGCACGTGAAAAAGCACGTCGCGCCGGATGCGGAATGCGGCGTGGAGAAAGGCGCCATTGCCGACAAGGTGCAGGAGAAAGACCTGCTGCTGCAGGGGCAGGAGAGGAAAAAGCGGTCCAGTAAGCAGGAGGGGCCGAAGAAGGTGGTCCTGAAGGTGGAGGCGGAAGGCAGGGGCAGGGCGGCGGCGGATGCCCTGAACCGGCAGATCAAGGAGGAGATCTCGACTGGCACCTCCTATAAGTAAGTCATTGCTCCCCGTTTGTTGGCGTTTGTTGATCAAAGTGGAGGAGACCAGGTGCATACAGGGGTCAGGAGGTCATAAAAAACATGCTATAAAGTTTATAATTAATTGTCAGGGAGTTCGACTATAAGTGACTTTATTCCACTAGTAATATTTATGATGTCATTGTCAACTGCAATCCAGTGCAGGTGAATCTTTGCTTCTGCGGTTGAATTGTGAGAATTGTGCCATTTTGGCAAAACATACCTTAAACCATAAGTTTACATACACTGAAATAAAAATGAGTTTCTATCTGAAAGTGAGAGCAAACCTCTCCTGCTTTAGATTAGTTAGGATTACCTGAATTATTTCTGTTCGATAAATAGCACAACAATAAGAAAACAGAAATAATCATCGTTATTCTAAAACGTGAAGAGTTTTCTCTGATTTAATTTCAGACAGTGACAAAAAAAAAAAAAGTATTTCATTCGGCACATGTAAACATCTGGTTTCATCTGAATATATGCATAAGCTACATTTTCTATTAGCCACTATTTGATTTAATAATAATATTATTATTAATAGTAGTATCTTTATGCCAAAAATGTGGAAAACTTGAATAAGAACAGAATAAACAATCATGAAGGGAAAATCACATGTTCTACCTGCTGTAGGACAAAATCCAGATGAAACAGTCCATAATATAATTCAACTATAAATGTTTAAGATGGTCAGTAGCAATCTTTACTACGCATCTCGTTTTGGCCCGTTAACTGAAATCTGAGTGCATAAGTTGGACATACGCTGCTTTCTTTCACGAGATGAACTGGGTGAGATTTTTTTTAAGGAAGACATTGTTGCAGAATTTCTCTGTGCAGGATCACACTGCACTCGTAAATCTGCCAATCGCTGCGCAAACTTGTCCTTTCACGCTGTGTGTGTGTGGGCGCGCGCGTGTGTGTGAGAGCGCATTAAATGACAATCAGCTTCAGTTTTCACCACTGAATGTCATTAGGCTGAGGCTGCAGGATGCTGCTAATGTTTAGGTCCAAGAGGCCAATCTCACTCTCACTCTGAGTGACTCTCATTATGCAACGTTCCAGAGAACGATGGGGACGGGTGGAAGGATGAACGTCAAGTCACGCATGTCATTGCTGTGTGCTGTATCTCCTCGCTGCATTTGAAGAGACTGGATTGTGTTTATTTAAGTCCGAGCCATCGCGCGATGCTCAATTGAGTTGTTTTTTTTGGCAGTTTTTCACGCTTTGTCTTGCTATAAAAATATCCTGTGTTATGTATAGGCAGAAAATCTGGCCAGCTGCTGCGACGGAGCAGTCTTTGGTGGAAAGTGTGACTCGGTTGGCGGAGGCAACTTGCACCGTGTTAGTGCATCAGCAGAGTCCTCCGGCTGTTTGGTGCCTGTGTTGTTTAGCAGTCAGCAGGGAGCAAAGCAGGCTCTCTCCATCAGCACTGGGTAATAAGAAGGGCTGCAGAAGCCAAGTCGACTCTGTTTTCATCTGCTTGCAAAGACAGTAAGGAAGTGAGTATAAAAACAAAACCTAATAAATTGAATACATTAAAATACATCAAAATACATTTTAATGTATTCAAATTAAATCAACATCTAAATACATTTATTTGCATAAATGTATTTAGATTTATGCAAATCTAAATCTGCATAAACTGGTCTGAGCAGGTTAGAAATGAGATTGGTTCATCTCTACAAGTACTTGGTTCCAGTGTCAAAGTTCTTTGTGACAATAAGCAGATAAAAACCCACTTGTCCTCCTTGAGTGATTCTCTTTAACTCCTGGCTACTTCCTGACTTTCATTAGGTTCTCTTTGAGAACACGCAGTTCTCTAAAACACAAAGGCTCCTTCTTGTACCTGGGAAAACTGTTAAATGCATTTATTTTTCTGCTAACCACAGCGTTCACCAGGGTATTTTCTCTGAATTGGTGCAGCATTTTCGACCAGAACTCTTCCATCCAGCCTTCACATTTCCAACTCTCTCCATTATGCTTTAAATGTCATTTTCGTGTCACAATAAATGAGGAGAAAGCTGCTGTTGGAGCTTTTGTTCTTCAGTTCGTTGTGCAACCCACTCTGTTTCGAGACAAAAGCTATTCTTCGTCCTGTCAGCCTCGCATGCTTTTTTATATCAGTTCAATAAAAAGCATTTAAAAAGTAGAGCGAGAAAAACAAGTATTGAGGAAAGAAACGCACCAAAAACAACACGAGAGTCTTTCAGGTTCAATGGGTTCAGAGTTACTGCTATATTTCATAATTTGTGTCACTAATTATTGTTTGACACATTTCTCTGAGCAGTAAAATCTCAAGAGCTTTCTGGTTTAGTTTTCTTCTTCAGGGGAAACAGAAAACCGTAAAACCTGACAAAGAGTGTCAGATAAACTCCCAGTGACCGCCGTCTATGTCACATTTACCAAAGAGCCTCATTAGGTGTAGCTGCATTCACACTGATCCGTTTTCAGGACTAAACGGTCCTGAGTGTCGACAGACTGTGAATGGAACACTCTCATACTCTGCCACATTTCAGCGGGAGGAAAAAGCTTGGAAAGACAATTGATTCTGTTCCTCAAAATAAAACCCACTTGTGTTCTGTTGTTGCCTTGGTTCAGAACATTCTCTGGAAAAGCTGCTTGTCTGATGTAACTGCTCTAATCTGGATTTGTCATATCTGCTCACACAGATTTGACAGTGAAATGTATTCCGATTAAATCCGACGCTGAAACTCTTGAACCCTGATATCAATTGAAACAGAAACTAGCTCAATCCTGCCTGTAGAGTTTCAGTAATTGTGATTCGTGAAATGTTCCCGTTTAACTGTAGAAGCTGCAAAACCTTTAAGCAGTTCTAGAGGTTTTTAGGCGTCACAGAGAGAAAGGAGGGAGCTGCTGAGCTGCACCAGCTGACACAACAAGAATGAACCTCTGTGCACAAGGAGATCGATTGCCTGGATGACTCTGACTGAGGCCGGCCGGTGCTTTATCTCTGTCTGGTGTTGGTGTGGAATTAGAGAGAATTAGAGGAACATTTGCCTTCGCCGTATCAATGCACAGATTATAGAGCTTATAAAAGAAGCTGCAAGTGTCAGACAAATTGTCACGAGGAAAGGTGAAAGACTGAACTGTAATCAAAACTCAAATGCACAAAGAATCCAAGCAAAACTAAACAAGAAGAGATGAAATATAAAGGTTACATCTAAGATGAAGTGAATAAGAGGGGCATAATCAAATGCAAACTCAAACACCTCACAATTATGACCGTAATAACATTAAGTTGCATAAAACCATGCATGTTGTTCCTACATGACTTATTTTCATTGATTTTACAGATAAAGTTGTGTTTTCAGACAAACAGTGATTTCCCATGATGAAATCATGGGAATCTAAATTTAAGGTAGCATGTAGTAGATGAAGAAAAGTACTCCAATCACCAAGCCCTGGGGAACACCACAGGTGACCACAGAAATCTCCCCGCTCCCAAGCTGAGTGAACGCTGGACCCTCTTGGTGCCCCGTTGTGCAGACTCTGTACCAACAGGTTGCACTGTAACACAAAAGTTCAACAACAAACAAGCTTTTAGATGCCAATAGCGGAGCAAGCGTGGGCTAAAACTTCTTAAAATAGTTATTTCCCACATTTTTTTTTTTACGTATTAATACAATGTCACAATCAGGCAGGTTCTAAACCTTATTTATTTTTTTCACCTTATTTGAGGCATCTTCAATTTCTGTGTTGTTTGTCGGTTGAGACACCACTGGACTTAAAAATAACCCTTTCAGTTCATTTGACAAAATGCAGGAGCAAATAGAAAGAAATGAAGTTGACCCATGCAGAGCAGCACCAACGCATGTTCAGCTGCGGGTCTCAAAATGCATCCAACACATGAGAACAAAATGATATGAGATTCAAATCTTAATGTAAGGCAGGAGTTCCCAACCCCAACCCAGAACACATCGTTCAACCAGAACGATGTGTGTGCCCAGTTGATTTTTTTTTTTTTTTTTTTGAAAATAATTGTCAACTAATTTAGTAATTGATTAATTGTTAACATCTGAATTATTTTTAATGTACTTTCGACTTTGTATAACGTAAGCTTAAGTGGTTAAATGAAAAATTAACAGAAAGTGCCATTTTTTAATCCAATTAATCATCAGAATAATCGATCACTAAAATAAGAAAGATCCATTAGTTGCAGTCCTAGTTTTGATACGTTAATGCAAACAACTTTTTGATTCTTGAAAATCAGTTCAGTTTAGAGTTGTAAAATGTTGAAGTGGATAATTTGGTGCAAATCAGATATAAAACTTATTTTAATGGCCAGCAGTGCATGCGAACTCAAAAGTGATCAGGATTCTGCCTCGGCTCAGACTTACTTGGTAGCCTGGTTATAATCTGAAAAGTTCAGACAATTTTATGCTTCTCCCCTTTACCCCTAAGCAACATTCAACCAGGGCAACCAATCCAAGCTCTTATAGATTACCAAGATACCTCATTTAGATACAGGTGACCGCCAGAGAATGTCTCATGTTGGCTCAGGTGATCTGAAACAGGGGCGCTCCCAGGAGTCTTGCGCCCCATGACAAAAAATTAAATCTGCCTTGCTTTCTTTGGTTCAATATAGATACCAGCTCATGAATTTTACATGCAACAGTCCACATACAGTATGCAAGTAGGTTGCTTAAATGTTTTCGGTTAGTTTTAGATTGTTGAAACGTCTCTCCCCATGAGCAACAGTCACAGGCAACATGCAAAACACACATGAAGCAATCCAAACTTCTCAAAAAATGCTATGAAGTTGCATTTTATTCAAGCTGCAGTATATAAAATATATGTTTTCTCCATATCTGTTAAAGCTGGCACCATGTTGTGCCATAGAGAACACACACAATCATACACCTTTATGCAGATCGGTAAGTTTCTTACTCAATCCCAAGTTCGTTCTCTATATCTTCCTCATAATCACATGCTACTTTTACATTTAGACCAGTTCTGTGGTTTGAGATGTGTGTAGCTCAGGACTGGACATTACCCTGACCCCGCTGTTCTTCCATGAGTGCCACTGCTCGGCTGGACAGATGAGGTCTTTCTCTGAACATCCATTCTCTATGACAGAAGGTCAGCGGGGTCAGCTCTCCAAGGCAGGTTTAGCCACACAGAATATCGGGGGAGGAAGATTACACAGACTGGCTGTGGAAAAATCCACAGTAAGAATGTGATAATAAGAGTCGAACGAAAATGGAAATGTTCCCTATAGTTTCATGACTATTTATTAGCATGACAAATTATTCAACTTAATATGTTTAATTGGATAAACTTAATTTGATTACTTGTAATATATTTTAAAACTGTTTCTGAAGTTATCATAACTTTGCGTCTCATTCACTCAGTAACTATAGTCCATGTTGAAGTGTGTTGTTTTTAGGTGGGGCCTGGTAGCGCTTGGCTATGATGCGTTCACTGGTCGGGGGAATATCCTATTTTTGAATCTCAATCAGGGACAATCAAGAGGAAAATCAGCCAACTGATAGATAATATTTTTCAAAATGAAGACAAAGCTTTCTGCTAGACCACATGACGCCAGTGTGTGCATGTGGTCTAGCAGAAAGTTGCAGCCCAGTGACGCTGAACGCAAAGTTTTTAATCTTAGTACCAAGAACCTCCTGATCTGAGAGACACAGGCCGTATTGTTACGCAGTCATACGTTGATGAATAGAAGTGATGTTACGGCGCAGACCGGTGTTTCACACTGTGAACCCTGTCTGTTCTCACAATCTGCCCCTCTTTCACCAACACATGCACACTCTGGTGTCATGTGGTCGTGCCGTACTCCTGGCGGCGATGGCGGTTGTGTAACATTTCTCTGCATCCAGGCGTCTTGGCCCGTTGCAGCCTCAGAGCTGGACTTCAGTCCTGTCACATAATGCAGGATTCTCGCCTCTGTTCTGCAGTGTTATTTCTGCACTCAGCAGCCCAGGCATTGTTACTGTTAGCAGCCTGTGTGCTGCAGATTTAATGCTTTATAAAGCAGCGAGAGACCATACATTATGAGCTGACGTTATTTTTTTAGAGTAATGAGATAAAAAGGTCACGGTAGATGGGCTGTGTTGGAGTTTTTTTCCGTCTACTTTTAAAACTTCATTTTGTTTGTTTGCTTCCTGTTCACCCTATTCTGCTGTGGCGAAAAATGCGGATTAACAACTTGTTATATTACGCCTTAAATTAACGTTTTGATCTCTTAGAGTATTGTAATTAAAAGCACCCTCAAAAACTGAGTTAGTTTTCTAGATTAGAGGTCACTTCTGTAACAACAAGTTTTCGTTTTAAAAGTTTTAGGGGAGAAAACAAGGACATTTCTGAGCTACAAAAGTTGAAAATTTGCTAGAAAAAACGCTGAAATTTTGAGATTAACCTCAGAAATTTTCTAGAAAAAACATGTCTTTAATAAAAAATGAATAATTCTGAACTTTGTGGTAGAAATGTACTCGTTTTATCTGCCTTCAATGGATCTAGGACCAAACAAATCCTTGATTTGTTGTTTTCTCCTCACAGAACCGAGTTCAAGGCGTACAAAGACGTGAAGCCAGTGAAGATGATTCGGGCAAAGTCTCAGTACCTGCCTCCAGACGAGAAGACGAGCTTAGAGACCAGCTACAGCGCCAACTTTAAGGCACTAGCTCCACTGCAGCCCACCGACAACAAGGCCCAGGAGAGGAGGAGGATACGCAGTTTGTACAGCGAGCCTTACATCGACCCTAGCAAGCAGGTAAGAACAAACTCACCTGACTACGTAGCGTAGTCCTGAATCAGCAAGAGTGATTTCCAGTGAAACCCTTGCCTATCTCACCTTCACGTTTTGCTCATTTCCTTGTTGATCTGTGCAAATAAAGAACTAAGTCACGTCAGAGCCGGAGAGGAAAACCTCTCCGCTATGCAGTGTTTCCCAAAGCGTTCATATTTTTTTCACACTTTAAAGTTTGTCGCTAAAAGAAATGAATGAATCACACGGTGCATTGAAATGAGTTTGAACATTTCCATTCTGACGATTGAGTTTTTGAAGGACAGTTTGGTTTACAGACATCACAATCCGTTTTATTTAAGATCGACACGATCAAATAGAAAACATTTGGCGATCAGCATATATTTTTTTAATCACAAACAAAAATCTGAAAAGTGTGGCATGCATATGTTACAACGCCATAACATAAAACCCCAATAAAATGACATTTGTGGTTGGAAATGAAACAATTGGAAAGCAACACATGCATTTGTAGGGCGCTGTATAGACTTGTGTTGTGTTGAAACGTTTTTGATAATAATAATAATCAAACATGGGGCCTGTTTCAGCTCAGGAATCACCTGTTTGCTGTCTGACATCCTTAGGTTGACAGGTATAGTGTCCCGCGCTCTAAACCTAAAAAGTCTGGAGCCGCAGCAGCAGGCCAGGGTAAACCGGTGAGGAAAGCCAAAGATAAGCAGAGCGCCGCGCTGAAGGGCTCCAAGAAGACGACCTCGGAGAACCAGCCCGAGAACCGGCCGGCGGTCGGGGACAAGGAGAAAAGTAAAGAGATCAACAACAAACTGGCTGAGGCAAAAGAGTAAAAATCATTTAGCACTACTTCTCCTTCTCCTTTTCTTTCTTTTTGTGGGACACAAACCCAGAGGCTGCAAAATTGGCTCCAAGTTCTTTGTCTTTGCTTTCGTCCTTCTCTAGCTGCTTCCTCCTCCGTCTTCTTCTTCTCTGTCCTCTCACTACCTCCTGGCTACATTTCTACTCCAGTAACATGTCAGGGTGTGAACATGACATGCCATTGCTCTTCCTGTCTCACTCTGTACTAGATCGCTATAGTAACGAGTGGGCGGAAGCATCCTCTTTCCTGTCTCCGCCATTTGACGCCACCCACCTCCCCCCACTCCACTCGCCTCCATCTCCAGGTTGCCATGGCTACTTGGCTGCCCGGCCAACCAATGGATGACTTTTGCTGCATGGGCCCATGTGCAAGCACGTCTGAAGGGTTGGCTTTGATCAGCTGAGCAGATTGCTTTGTAGAGTTTATCAAGGATTTATCTTTTTTTTTTTTTTTTTGTTTGTGTTGTTTTCTGAGGGAGGAGGTCTTGAAGAAAAAGAGACTCATATTGGCTCTTTTGAAAAATCTTTTTTCTTTTTTTTTTCTGAAGATGCAAACTGGAAAATCTTTGATAAATGTCCAGCGTGGTTATTCATGATGTGTGCGTGTGATCCACGGCTTGTTCTGTACTCGCTCTGTTTGCCTTTCTATCTCTGTCTCCAAAAGTATGTTTGGCAGTATCACCATCTCTGCTTTGGTAAATGTGAACTCTGATAAAAAAAAAAAAAAAGAAATGAAAAATGTCATTTTCTGATGGAAAATGTCTTTAATTCATCTGCACATTCTGTTCTCCCATTCAGCATCTGCTCCTTTCATGTAAGCCTCATTCATACCGCGGTACTTTGGGACTCCCAGCTTGTTCTGAAAGCAACGGTTAGGTTACATTAAACCGATTATGCACTAAGGCCCAGTCTGTCAGGGAACAGAGGAGGATTCCCTATGAATTACATAATGCTACACGCAAACGTAACCCTTTTTAAACCACAGCACTATCATTTCTCATAATAAGAGTTAGGGAGGGAGGCACTCAGAGGAGCTGGGAACTGTTCATGTTTGTTTCCTGCGTTTCTGTCACACAACGCTCGCAGCTTTCAGCCTGGCTGCTCATAACTCAGTGGAATCACCTCCGACACTCTCTTCATTAGCAAGGCTCCTCCGTCTGACAAGCCACAGTTGTGTAACTGTGTGAATGCAGAGACAAACACCTGCCTACACGGCCACTGATGTTATTTCACTGGCTTGGGACGACAAGGAACAGATCATAATCCAGCTTTTAAATTATTTATATGCAGGTGCACAGTGACAGAGATGTCAATGTTCAATCTATTTCAGATATCAGGGATAGAAAGTTGTTGTTTTGTTGGTTCATGATAGTCAGCGAAGTTAGATTTATTTTCCAAACCATTTATTCTGGTGTGACTTTCTGAAACTAATTAGAATTGAGTTTCTGATCAACTCAATTAGAAACTTGACTAAAGTTTCTAATTGAGTTAATTGCAGGGTGTGTAATTAATTAACCCCAATTATTCCCATTTTAATCAAAACCTAAATATCAAGAAAGGAAGCAACATTATTAATTAAAAAATAAAAAACATATGTATTTTCTGAGTAAATAGAGGTCAACAACAAAGATATTTATTGTTCTTAATTTATTGCCTGTGCGTCAGATTTACTGGCATGCCAGGAATCTTGCATGTAAAATTTGATTATTGGCGTTAAAAGTATCCATGCGATAAAAATCAATATCGTTAACTAACCAAAGTAACAGGCTAAAGTCCCAGTGCTAATCAAAACTGCTACTGCTTTTGCCAACATTAAAATGTGCATCATTTTTAAAAAAAAATGTATTCAGCAGCCTTCACAATATGTTGGATTTAAAGTTAGCATTAGAGATGGGGGTGAGCGTAATCAGATAGCTTCGAACAGTGACACAAAGTCCAATCTACTTCTCTTTCATAAGCACATCATGCTAAATGCTAGCAGGCCACCTAGACAACAACAGCGTTTGGTTTGGTAACTCAGTTACTGAGTGAACAATAAAACTAGGCCGGCTGTTTCCCGTCATGCTGGTGTGTTAAAAAATGACATTAAGGAAGAACTGAGATGCATCAAGTTTTGTAAAAGAAAGCAGTAGTTTTTACGACGCGTCATCTCGACTGAGAGATCAAGAGTTTCAGCAGATAAGAGGAAGGCTTATGCTCTGTTTCATCCTCCTGAGCTTCCATCTTCTGTTTGTGATGTAAAATGCTGGATTTGGAAATGGCAGCGTTTCAGAGATCCCAGACAGCCTGTAGAATATAATGCAGCTTTAGCTATGCTAGCCTCGCGCTCTGTGCCGATCGCTAAACACAGAACAAATGGCAAAACCTACAATCATTTTCAACCTTGTTTTCAGCTAATAGTGAAACCCTGATGTGCAGGAACTGCTCTTTCACACAGCAGCGTTTCTCCTGGTGTAAATAATTAATGACTGCCCACAGCCAGAGGGCTGGAATGATACATCAATAATGATATTATATTGTATTTTTAAAAGAAAATCAGCCGCAGCACATCAAAGATCTAGAAAAACAGAAGGTTGAACTTTTATGGAAGCCTATTTCTGCCACAAAAGGACAAATAAAAGCCCATGAATGTGGGCGTAAATTTGTTTTTCGCTGAAAGAAGAAATGACCTTCAAAGTCAGAATGAACTTTCCATCTCATTATTAGTTTTATAACTAAAACTTACAATCTCATGATTATAACTTTGAAAGTAGAAATGATGACTTTTATTCTTGAAAGTGTGTCTTTAAATCTCCTAGTTACGACTTCCTGTCAGACTTGTATTTTTTCATTTATGGCAGAAATGGGCTTCCATAAACATTTGTCCAAAGAACTGATCGGTGCAAAACTTTATCAGTGTTCGCATACGTGTTGTAGCCCGACCCTCAAGTTAGCAAAGCAATTGCTTTATTTGAACATAGTTATCATTTCTATACCTGCTCCTATTCGTGGTACAATCACAAATTATGACTTTTAGCTTTATGCTACCTGTTTTAAAATAAAATTGGCGCTTTATCGGATGTGCTCTAAGGTCAGACTGTAAAAAAAAAAAGTCAAACAATCCCGGACGTCTTTGTCAGGATACAACTGCATCCCGTTCTCGGGTCCACCAGAGCCGTAAAAACCTCGTTCTCTGTGTCGCGCTGCCGCCGTTTTGTCTGCAGCTCAACATCTCCTTCATTCAGAATGACTGAAAGTCGCTCCGCCTCCTCAGCAACCATCACCACCGCACACATTCAAGCTGAACACCAGCCCCATCTGGGACATGGGCTCGACTCATTAGCATTTTGCAGCCTTTGATTGGTGTTTGGGGAGGGAGGGGAGGGCCGGGGGGGGGGGCACCTTGTCTTGTAAATGTAAATTATTACACCACACACTTGGTGCTATCTATATGTATTTATTAGACAAAAATAAGGATAGAAAGTATGCTAAAGAAAGCTATGTCTTGGACAAAAAAAAAACTGTGACGTGCTTGTGTTTTATCTGCTTGGTCTTACTTAATGAAACATTCTAAATAAATGCAAAAAGAAAAAAAAAAGGCAGAAAAAGCAGTGTGTCCTTTGCTTCTTTTTGTTAAGAGGAATGGATAAAGGTTAGTTGGTTGCAGGTGTCTGTCAGAGTGTCCCAGTCTTTGTGTGACAGGCTACATTGGATCAGGTCTATCCACATGGAAGAGAATGTAGCTCTCATATCCCCCCCACCTTTGACCCCTCCGCTACGCTTAGCCCAGAGTCACGCCACATTCTGGCATGAGCCCAAGCTTCTTCTTTCGCCGACGCGCGCATGTTTCTCCGATGTGGGGACTGACGGATATATTATTCTTGCATCGCTTTCCAATATATTCCAAGAACTCATGGGGTTTATGGAGCAACATGCGCCTGGCAAAAGAAGACGCTCATCCCAGAATACACATGTCATGTGCTTCAAACAGCCAAAAACACAAGATGTTTTTTTGATAGCCTTACCTCTCTCCTATATGTCATTTTGAACTATTATTTTCAGATGATGCTGTGTCCAGTTTGTTCTGTGCTAATGAGTGACATTCTGATTCATTTGAAGGGTTGTGCTAAAACAGTACCACTACATACAACTCTGCCAGCCAATCCGAGATATTGGCTGGGTGCAGACCCTAAAGCAACACCTGTGGGGCTGTGCACTACCCGATCCCAGGTAAACCCAACGCCACAAGCAAAAGAAAAGCCAAACGCAGCCAGAAAACGCCTCTCATTCTCATTCATACCTGCTCATGGAGTCGTGACCTGCTTTTGTTTTTCGATTACAGTGGCACAGTTTTCTGATTTTTTTCATTTTTTTTCCTTCCTCTTTTTTATTATTATTATTATTATTACTGTTATCCAGACCAAATCACCACATTGTCTTTGCTCGACTCCCCTCCGTGTTTCTCTTCCATATGGACACTAGAGTGGGAGGGGAGGGTGAGACGGAGGCCGGGTCTCACATCCCGCCCGCGGCTTCCCTTAAGGAGGCCTGAGTTGTAGTCCAGCCATCTCCAACTATTCCTGAACCAGCTGCTGTGCTGCATCCGGCCTCCATGGTTTCTGGGAACTGCATGATTGAATCTGTTTCGCTTCAAGAAGCGGTCCGCTCACATAGTGCCTTGCGAAAGGAATTCCATCCCCACAACCCGCAAACTTCGGCGTATTTTTATTGGGATTCTTTGCGATGAAACCAAAATGAAGTGGCTGTGAAGTGTGAAAATGCAACACGGTTTCGACTTATTTGATGTAGAATTTGAAAAGTGCGGTGAGCTTTTTTTTTTATACGATGTCCCCTAAATAAGATCCAGTGTTACTTCAGAAATTACCAAATGAGTAAAGAGTGGATCATTCAAAATCAGTCTAAGTGCAAAAGTTCCCTTTATTCAGCTATGTAAAAGTAACATCATGATTTAAACTCACCTAGTCAAAGTCCAAAGCTACGTTTTGTTATTATTTATAATTTGGCAATAGCAGATGCCGTCCATCGAAGCTAACGGAACTCGATGGACTCGTCTTGAAAACGAGCACTGGAATAAAAATCTGTTAAACCGTGCATCATTTTCCATCCGCTCTGTGCACAACTTCAGTTCTGGTGTTGCACATAGAACCCCAATAAAATAAAAAATAAAAACATCTAAGTTTTTAAAAAGAGCCATGAAGTTTGAAACATGACAGTGTCACACAGCCAACGGGGGCCGTCAACACGTTTGCCAGGTAGTGCATGAGTCGGGTCTCTCATGTCCTCCGCTCACATGAACGAACTCTCTCCCGTTTCGCCCCCCAAAAAAGTCTAAGTGTTTCATTCTTCTTCCGCACTTTGCCCTCGTTTGCATTGGAATGTGTTTTCTGACGCATGCCGCCACTGTTTTCTGTTGGACCTGCAATCTGAGTCTCACTTCCACGTAGTGGCCTAGGCCTCGCCCTCTTGAACAAGTGCTGAGCATGGAAATAAGATGGAGGGTGAGTGTGAATGGAATGAGGGAAGCAGCGCCTCCTCGGAAAGACACATTTCAGAGGAAATTGTAAGTGCATGCTAACGACGCAAATCCTTCTTATTTGTTTTAAGATTTTCTCATTGCCGCACTGCATTTTTTTTTTTTAAGCGGCCCTGAGACCCTCAACCCTCAAACTACAGCTTGGAAAGCGATTGTATGAAGCAGTAGTTTGAAAATCTGAGTAACTGTCAGTTTTTAAAGAAATTGAGATGTTTTGTTTGACTTTGTATTTCTTTTCTTTTCTTTGTTTTTTTTAAAAAGCCCATCGTTAGCTTTATTTCTCTTTCCCCGGTAACGAGCGGTCTCAGGGCGCTTAGCTCAACACGACGACTTTGTGTTTTTGTCCAACGTAAATCCTTTATCCTCTTGTCTCTTTTTTTGTCTCTGTCTCTGGTATCTAAAAAAAAAAAATGTGCTGCCTCCTAGAGATTCTAAAGACGAGGTTCTCCGACCCGGTCATCGTCATTCCCAGGGTGCTGCTGGAGGAGGAACACAGCCACTGCTGGAGGGAGGCGAGCCTCGGCGGAGCGGCGTTCGCTTTGCCCTAGACGTGACCCAGACCGAGTAGTCCGGCTCACGCGGACCGGACAGAGGCGGATTGGACCGCCGCTCTGCTGTGTACATACCTAGAGTCTGAAGTCGGATGAGTTCGGGAGGCTGAAGCCCAACAAGAGTCACAAAAGAAAAGAAAAGAAAAACTCTCCACCCCCACCCAGGAGGACAAGCAGCCGGTTGGGAAAGCTTTGGCGCATGTTCGACCGCAGCCTCTCCGGATCCGGCGTCCTCGACCTTTTGGCCCCGTGGCATTACGACACAAGGTGCTACATCATTTTCTGGTCTCGTCGAATCCTGTCTGAAGAGCACACGTCAGCACTGTTAGTAGTCACGTCACACCGAGAAGTGCTTAATAACCCCACAAGAACTGTACCACACGTCGATCACTTTTAGTCGGAATAAATGAGTAAAACTTACCTGACCGGTGAGGCTGTTGTCCTTCTTTCTTCCGTTTTTTTAGCGTTTTGAGGCTGAGGACAGGAAAAGCGTCGTACAGGGAGCGGTGGAGATTTTACAGCCTTTTTCAAAATGACATCAAAGTTTGACAATTTTGTACGACAGAAGCCGACTTTGTGAATAAGCCTGTAAAAATCAAACCTCTTCTTCTTTTTAATTTCCCCGTTATATGCATAGATTATTACAAAATTACCTTTTTCTCTCTCATACATTTATTCCACTTGGTGTTTCTCCTTACTAGAGCCCCCTTCATAATCTGCCGAAAACATGATTTCCCCATGTGTTTCACTTTGAGGTTCATTTTGCAGAACAGAACGAGGACAGATTGAAACCTGAGGGGTGTCAGTGCATTAATCAGAAGGTAACAAACAGAATTGTGATTGGATAGCAGAAGTCACAATGATGCAAGGAATAGCATGAATATTACTTCTGGCTTGGGGACGCTTTTACGTCAACCGTTTAGTGCATAGGTGTCAAACTCTGGCCCGCGGGCCAAATTTGGCCCGCAGTGTAATTATATTTGGCCCGCGAGACAATTTCAAATCAATATTAGAGCCGGCCCACCGGTATTATACGGTGGCAATGCAGTGACGCCACATTCACCGGTTATACTACGAATCCATAATCAGTGGCGGAGCCAGAGGGGTGGCCGGGGTGGCACTTGCCACACCCAACAGAGCCCTGGCCACCCCTAGTGCCACCCCACTGGAAATGGTCATTTTAAAATATAATACTTATGAGATCGGCAAAGATTTGCCAGGAAAACCGTAATTTCCGACTGTCCCTGAAGGCAGCTCGATGCCCGACGCTGTTCATTGGTTAAACTGACATGTGGTTCCTGCTTGATCCAAAACACATTTAGAGTTACACCGTCAGGAGTTTTGCAGTTACTTACATTTTACCGCCCAGCAGTAACCGCTGTTACCTTCCTAATGAGGAAGGTAACATTTCTTTTAAATGTCATACATTTCTAAAAAAAAATGGTTGTGTACCGCTGCGTAGTGCCTCGTTTATTATATTAACCATGTTAGTGCTGATAGATCGTGTTTTAGACAGATTCTTTTAACATATGTTTTAGTGACATGCTGCCCTCTAATGTTTTATATCTCCCAGCTCTTGCTTGAAATGTGGTAAGAATATGTGAAAAACCTTTAAGTTTTATAATGACTGAAATGTAAGTAGGCTATATCATATGAAAGCTTTGAATTATAACCTCACTAGTTATATTAATTAATTTTGAACGAAAGGAAACAAATATTTTTTCCTTTCGTTCCGTGGAACGGTCCATTTGTATATGGACCCCTCCGATAAAGCCTTGCTCACCCTTTGGCCACCCCTTGAAAAAAAGTCTAGCTCCGCCACTGAGAGGCAGACACGCCTTCTCCTCTGTGTCAGTAGCACTTATGGTAGCGGACATGGGTGTATTATGAAGGTGGTGATCCGTCTTCTTGCGCACCAGCACTTACCTATGTGAGCAACTTTTCTCCTCAATAAAAATGACTAAAACATCTCGCAGGAGACGTCTGACTGACGAACACCTTTTTTTCGATAATGAATCGTTTCCTCAGCTCAAACCACGAGGCCCGACATTGATGAACTCAATGTCATTAATGACAGGTATTTGGCTTGGCCGCATCAGAGTAGATCAGTGTGGCGCAAAATGAGCAATAAATAAGTTTTCTATGCACCTTTTCTTGTTATGCCAAGGCCTGAATGGTTTATTCATAGTTTATTTAATGATTTATTTCAAATTTATTAGCCTGTGTACCTAATTTTGACATTTAGGTCAGAAAGGAGGCATTCAATTTTTATTTAAATTTTATTTAATATGTTTAATATTTTATTTCATATATTAAATTTATTTATTATATTTTATTTATTATAATAATATGTTTTATTATTATTAGCAACTCAATTTTGCACACCTGCACTTTTAAGTTAGATAAGCTTTGCTTGTTCAATATTTATGTTATTAGAACTTGTTTGGGTCCATATTAAAAGATTCATTTGTTCGACCTTGGCCCGCGACTTTGTTCAATTTAAAGTTTTGGCCCACAGTGTATTTGAGTTTGACACCCCTGATGTAGAACATGCATTCTTACCCATAAACGAGTATCTCCGATTGTTTTTTTTTTTTCCTTTTGACCAACTATAAAATTACATTACAATTCAACAACAGCAAAACATTAGCTTGTGGCTAATCGATAGCTAACGAGCTAATTATAGCACAGAACTCACCGGAGATTCGCCGCAAAAAATAGAAATTAAATCTCAAAAACAACTTCTCCCAGATCCCGATACACAGGAATCAAAATTTTAAACACAGATGAAACTAATTCTTGAAAAAATATTCAAAAGAAAACTGATTTTTATCAATAAAGTGACCACAACCGGTTTTTTTTTTTTTTTTTTTTTTTTCTTTCTTCTTCTGGTTACTCTCGCTCATATTCTGTAGCACATCACTGTAGCTTTAGACTACTTTGAAGCCATTTACTGCACCTATTGGCAATATGGTGTATTACAGGCGATAACTCATGTTTGCTAAAATAACATGGGTTACATCCCCCCCCCCTGAAATGGCATGCATCCTCGCATGACAGGGATCTATTTAAATGGCAGTCACCTTTCCATAAACTGGGGGAGTAACTGAATCCAGGGCTTGAGTGACAACCATATCAAGACTGCTTAGAAGGGAATGCATCATTAGGGATAATGGATTTCCCAGGGTCTTGTAAATTAATCGGTTTGGTTCTGACCTATTTCTTTGTGATCGCCTTATTCCGGACATAACATCCTCTTCCTCTTTCTCTTCAAGGTCTATCTTGTCCATTCTTGCTTTATTGTCAACATCAAAATTGTCGTCCTCCACATCCACTTTTTCAATGTTCAATTGCACATCCATCGCTGTATCCCTCCTCTGAACTTCGACCTCAACTGTGGATTGTCATTTACAGATGGGACAACGCCTTGTCTTCTTCAACCGGGCTAATTTCTGCCTCAGGGGAGATATTCGGTTGATCTGTTGCAGTTAAGGGAGATTCCTTAGGTTGTAACTCAACAGGTTCAGTTGGAGTTTGCTCTTTCCTTGGTTCAGCCTGTACTGGTGCGAAAACATCTGCATAAGGATTCAAACTCGAGCAGCCAAGGCTGGTGCTGTGGTCTGCTGAACCAGGATTAATGGGGATGGGAATTTCATGCACAGTAGTGAAAGGTGGGTAAGTGACGTCCTCCTGGACCACTGGCCAAAAATCCCGACACGAACCATCATCCCAATCTGCCAGGTGCATTTGTCCATCTTCTGATGGATCCTGAATTGGAACTAACGTAGGCTTGTCCACATTATATGGAATTGAAGAATGTTCCTGTTCAAAGAACGACAGAAATCCACAAGGCAAAAGCATGTCTCGATGGAGGGTTTTCTCTGGACCATCAGAGATCAGGGGAGCAACAACATACACAGATGAGTCATTGATATGCTTCACAACCTTGTATATAGTTTGGCTCCACTTATCAGCAAGTTTGTGCTTTCCCTGGATCCCTACATTTCGTATAAGCACACGATCCCCTTTTTCCAAAATGGACTCTCTAACTTTGATGTCATATCTGGCCTTATTGTGTTGAGCAGTTTTTTGACTGTGCTCCATAGCCAGTTTGTAACTCTCTTGGAGAGTTTCTTTAAGCCTCTTCACATATTCACTGTGAGTGACTGTGTCTTTTCCTCGATGAATTAGTCCAAATGCAACATCGATCGGTAGGTTGGGCTGCCTCCCGAACATTAGCTGATAGGGGGAATACCCAGTTGTGTCGTTCTTAGTGCAATTGTAAGCATGCACTAATGGCTGCACATGATCACGCCACTTGACCTTGTCATCTTCTGAAAGAGTTCCCAGCATCCCTAGTAGAGTACGGTTGAACCTCTCTACTGGGTTTCCACGTGGGTGGTACGGGGTTGTTCTCGTTTTCTTTATGCCCAACATCTGGCATAGACTTTTAATGACCGCTGATTCAAAATTGCGACCTTGGTCACTATGCAGTCGTTCTGGTAGACCATAATATACAATGAACTTATCCCACAAGGCTTTTGCGATAGTTTTCTCTTTCTGGTCAGGAGTAGGCACTGCAACAGAGAACTTTGTGAAATGATCTGTGATTACTAGTATGTTCTTGTCCCTCGACTATCTGGTTCAAGAGACAGGTAGTCCATACATACTAGCTCAAGTGGTCTGCTTGTTTTGATGTTAACAAGTGGTGCTGTTTTCTCAGCTCTGGCTTTGCGACGCACACATCTTTCACATTGTCTGATCTTTTGTTCAACATCTAACCACATCCTTGGCCAATAAAACCGGGTTTGCATGAGGTCCATAGTCCTTTCAATTCCCAAATGACCAACATCATCATGGAGACTTTCAAATGCAATCTGTCTATATCTCTCAGGGAGAACCAGCTGGAAAATGGGTTGACCCTGATACATGCGCTTCCTATATAGAACATTGTCAATTAAG